ACTTTTGAGCCCAGAAAATAATCTATCAAGCTATTTGTAATTACAAAATATTCCTATGCCCCACCCATTCTCTACTCTTACTGAAGATTATAGAAGACGGGTTATAGCAGTAGTACACTGTTACAAACTGACATTTCCAAACATGAACACACTACCAAGAACAATAAACATCTGAGGAGTGCCAACACTATGAAATAACTAACAAAACCCAAAGAAGTCAAGCTAATGCAGCTAATAGCTCACTAAGAACAAGACTATAACAACTATAATATTAGGGAATGAAAGCACAAACAAGGATTTTAGGAGAAAATTAATTAGAATTAATGGGCAGGAAAACACACATTTTTGAAATAAAAAGAAACCCATTAGGATGAATTAAATATACAAGTAAACAAAACTAAAGAATAGATCAGTGAGCTGGGATATCAGGCCTAGGAATCCTTCCAAAACAGTAAAAGGAAAGAAAAAGAAAGGATCAAACAAAAGTAAAGGGGGAAAAAAAAGGACAGCAGAGACATAGGTTAAAATCTAAAAACCAATAGGAGTTTTCTTGAGGAAAAAAAGGAGAGGCAATATTTTAAGAAATGATAAATGAGAAACAATCCCAGAATTGAAGGTACGCATGCTAAAAGTATCAAGTGAGAACTAGAGTGAACTCAATTTTTAAAAAGTTGCGCAATATTCAAATGAAGTTCAGAATATCAAGGATAGAAAAAGAGTCCTAAGAGTTATCAGGAGGAAAAATAATCTTAAAAACAAATTATGATCCAGAACATCATGTCTAATTAGCAACAATGAAAGTAAGATAATAAAGCAGAATCTTCAAAGTGCTTTTGGGCATGGGGGACCCTCCCCAAATTGTCTTTCAAGACTTGCTTGCAGCCATGGTGGAGTAACAGGGACCAGATCCCACCTACCTTAAATAAATAAAAGCCTGCACAAAATACATGAAATGACAATTTTCAAACACTGGGCAACAGGCAGCACAGAGCAATGATCCTTGAGAGAGGGGAAGGGGTCGGGGAGGCATACTGCAATAGCAGTAGGGCCAAATTAGCCTTACATTAACATCTATTTTGTACTGCCTAGCAAGAGATTAAAAGCAAGCCTTGTGAGGTTCAAATTATTTCCAAATAACTTAACTATGTCCCAGAATCAAGCCCCCAAGTATTTTAAAGAGTACAAAAATCAAGCAAAAACACAATGCTTGTTAGGAAGTAGAAAAATATACTAATGAGGAGAAAAAACAATCAACCAATAGAGACTCAGAAATAAAAAGATGACAGAATTAGTAGATAAAAACATTTAAAGTTATTATAATTATACTATATATGTTCAAGAGCATAGAGAAAAATATAAGCATCACAAAGAATGACATGGAAAGTATAACCCAAATCAACTTTAAAAGAAAAATAAAAATTACAGCATCTGAGCTGGAGTTCTATCTCAGTGGCAGAGCACTTGCCTAGCATGTTCAAGGTTCTAGGGGGTTCAAAACTCAGCACTGTGAAAATAAAACAAACAAGAAAACCCACTCCTAACCCCCACCCCCACCCCCCAAACCCCTGCAGTATCTTAAGATGAAAAATATGCAATGCCTGGGTGAGATTAACAGCATGAAACTCAAAGCAGAAGAAAAGATTAATGCACTTAAAGACATAGTAATAGAGATAATTCAAAATGACGCATAGAGAAAAAAGATTAAAAAAATAAAAAAGGAAAGAGAATCAGTGAGCAATTGCAACAACAACTAGCAGTCTAATGTGTACTGAAGTTCTAGAAGAGGGAAAGAGAAAACCTGAAAAAAAATTTTTTTTAAATATTTTTAGTTGTAGATGGACACATTACCTTAGTGTCATTTATTTATTTTTACATGGTGCTGAGGACCAAACCCAGTGCCTCACACATCTGCTAGGCAAGCGCTCTACCACTGAGCTACAATCCCAGTCCCCACACCCCAAAAAAGTGAAAAATCTTTAAAGGGATTTTTATTTGATGAAAAAAAAATTTTCTTTTTAAAAATATTTATTACAGTAGATTGCATTTTGACATATTGTATACAAATGGAGCACAACTCCTCATTCCTCTGGCTGTACATGGTGCAGGGTCACTCCAGTAGTGTAATCATACATGTATATAGAGAATAATGTCTGTCTCATTCTACCGTCCTTCCCATCCCCAAAGCCCAATCCCTCCCTCTTCTTTTTCTTTCTTTCCTCTCTCTTTCTCACCCCCCTTTTTTGGGGGGGAGTGGTAATAGGGATGGAACCAACGGGCTCTGCCACTGAGCTATATCCCCAGCTTTTACATTTTTAAAATCTTGAGGCAGGCTCTCACTAAGTTGCCCAGTCTGGTCTCACACTTGCAATCCTCCTGGCCTCAGCCTTCCTTCTCACTGGGATTATAATCATGTGCCACAGTGCCTGGCCATTTGATAAAAAATTTAAACCCAAAGATCTGAGAAGCTCAATGAACTTTGGTACAAAATAAACATAAATAGAATTACACAAACTACATCATAATCAAATTGCTTCTAATGATAGAAAATTTCAAAAAGTAAAAAAAAGGGAATATTACACACAGAGGAAAGAAAAAAATGACAACAGACTTTTTTCCTCAGAAACGAGGTATGCCCTGTTAAGTAGGTAAGTAGAGAGATATATTTAAAGTACTTACACAAAAAAGGTTCAACCTATAAAACTAAGCCCAGAAAAAAAAAAAAAACTTGTCAAAAACAAAGGCAGAATATTTTTTTAGACATAAATCATGAAGAAAACTAAACCTAGGGCAGAATAGTAGGATATAAGAGACTGTTGAAAGAAATGATTAAATCTTGATAAGTCTAAACTTATTTTAAAATATTTTAAATAAAAATATGCAATCAAAATTTCAAATGTTATTAACCAGGAGATAGAAAGGAAAAAGGCAGGAGGAGATTCTCTTCTACTATCTAGAGGAAGGATACAAATACAGATTAATTCCAGATGTTAGGAAAACAAACTGAAGTATATGTGTTAAAAATAGAGGGGGTAAAGGCTGAGTTGTGGCTCAGTGGTAAAGCACTCGCCTAGCACATGCAAGGCACTGGGTTCGAGCCTCAGCACTACATAAAAATAAAACAAATAATAAAATAGAGATAAAAAAAATAGAGAGGGTAACTATTAACAATTTAACTATCTTCCTAGGATATGATTTCAAAGAAAAAATTTTAGATTGAATAACTCTACTAATAAGTTTACAAAGTTACCAAATATAAACTTATTACAATAGATATGTTAATAAGTATAATCAAAATATGTTATCAACTAATTGGCCTATTTCCTACATTAGTGTAATGATTCATGGGGTGCTGAGCTGAGAGAAATAATAATTGGGAAAAAAAGAAAACAATCATTGGTTGTTTTATTTTTTTAAAAGGTAAAAATGCACTTCTATGAGTCAAAATTATTAACAGGTACAACTACTGAAATGATTATTCAGAAACAATATTTTCTAGGACACATGACTTAATTTAGTTAATTTGCATAATCAAAGGCTTTAATATGATTTTGTTTCCAATTGCTTTTGAGCAAATACATGGTTAAACATACATTTACCCAAATATTTATTTCCCATTGTTCTTCTAACAATTCTTGGCCACTAAAAAGTATTTAAAACTAAATACATATTGGGGAGAAATCCAGCAATTTAAGAACTTATTTCTCTAATACGAATATCTGAGTTATTATACCCACTTCCACTCTTTTTAAAGAATAGAAAACAAAGTAACAATATAACGCCACTCTTCATTTAAAAGATATAGCAAAAGACAGGTTAAAATTAGAATATCAGAACTTTATACCTGCAAATTATTTTGAATATCTTTCCTATTGTTATGCATAGACTTCTCGATTATAATTTTTATTTATACTTACATTATTCTAGAACTTTACTTTGAATATTAATATGTTCAAAATTTCAAAAAATTATCATACCATCCCCGAAGGCCTGCAGCGGCGTTGACACAATGTGATTTCTGCCCAGTGCTCTGAATGCCAAAGAAATTCAATGAAGCACGGGTAAATGGGGGGAGTAACTAGGACTCTCTTAAGGTAGCCAAATGCCTCATCATCTAATTAGTGATGTGCATGAATGGATGAAGGAGATTCCCACTGCCCCTACCTCCTATCCAGTGTAACCACAGCCAAGGGAACAGGTTTGGCAGAATCAGCGGGGGAAGACGATGCTGTAGAGCTTGTCTGGCTTGGTGGAGAGACATAAGAGGTGCAGACTAAGTGGAAGACTCCCGGTGCAGCTCTGTCCCGAGAAGGGACCTGGCAACCCCGGCTCATTTTTTTCACTGACCCAGTGAAGGGGAGGTGGCGAGGATGGGTGGCAAACCGCACCCCAGGGGGTGGTTTTCACTTCTGGTGCCAAGTGTCAGGCTGTATGCTCAAGGGACAGTGCCAGGTGGGGAGTTTGACTGGGGCAGTAGGTACACCTGTCAAACCCTACTGCAGGTGTCCTCTGGAGAGCACAGGGAGGACACAAATCTCTCGTGGAGCAGAAGGAAAAAAGCTCGCTTGAACTTGATTTTCAATACAGACAGTAAAAGTGGGGCCTCAGGATCCTTCTGACCTTTTTGGGTTTTAAGCAGGAGGTGTCAGAAAAATTACCAAGCGTTTATAGCCATGTGGCTTTCTGATCCTTTGATATCGGCTCTTCCTATCATTGTGAAGCAGAATTCATCAAGGGTTGGATTGTTCACCCACTACTAGGGAACATGAGCTGGGTTTAGACCGTCGTGAGACAGGTTAGTTTTACCCTACTGATGATATGGAAAAGTTATAAAGACTTAGGCCAATGAAGTCTACCCATTAAAAAAAAATTTGCCTTATACCTTATGATCAACTGTGAAATTGTTTGTTGGCTCACAGAAAGTCTGACAATAAACAGTATCAGCTAAATATATATATATATACACATATAAATACATATAAAATTTAAAAAAATTATCGTACCATATGTCCTTCAGCTCGGGCTTTATTCTGCATAGCTTCCCGTTTTCGCTGTAGAAATTCTTCCACTTGCTTAGCTCTTTCTATATCTAGCTGCCCTTTTTGCCTAATTTGGACAAATCACAAAGTCAACAATTATGAACAATAAATATTTTGAATAATCCAAAATTTTACTTAAATACCTTTTTATTTCTTTGCAGAATATGAAAAGATTAATGTAAAATAAAAATTCTCTGTAATGAAGAAATCACTATATGTGTATTGGTAGCTATTACCTCAACTCACTCTTTACTATTATGAACAGAAGTGAAAGCTATGTTATCATTCCAAATCTTGACAAGATTTCTTTCTTCAGGTATTGGGGGTTCTACCCAAGCCCTTGTGCATGCTAGGTAAGCACTCTACCACTGAGCTACATTCCCAGCCTTACAAGAAGGTTTCTTTTACATTCAGCTATTCTACTTACACACATATATTATTTTAGGCTGTATTACAAAACACTCTTCAAGTTTCCAAGTTTATTTTAGAAATATCAAACATAGTAAGAATTTTATTTAGTCAGTATTGAAGTCAAATGAAAGTACCATAGTAGCAATTAAAAATAAAAAAGAATGAAAAGTTTATTTAAGTGTGAGTTTTCAAATATTTAGCAAAAGCTATGTATGAATTCCCTAAATATCGTAAGTATTGTGAAGCAAAATGGATAGATTAGGGAAAAAATTAATAGCATATGTATTTGTTTCAATCTTCTCTAGTTTATTTCTACATTTGTCTTCCTTAAACAATTATGAGAACATAAACATGTTAAACTTAAAAATATCTATGACAAACATTTATTAAATACCTACTACATGATATCAGTTATCAAGTGAAATATGGAAAACACAAAAATAAGTAAGACACAGCCCCAGTAATCTTAGAACTCACAGCACAGTATCAACTGTGATTAATTTTGGAGATGAGGAAGAAAGGTGAGTAAATTACTGGCTGTGCTTCTATTTGGATTCTGAAGTACAGCACATAAACTTCCTGCAGTCTCTTTTTGAGACTATAAGGTATACATGAAATCATGCTTTTTCTGCAATATTTAAACACTTGTCATTTTCATGCATCAAGTAATAATTTCTTTACCACTGTTTTCATTTCTAAATGAAACATAAAATTATTTTAAATATAATAATGAGCTGTAAAAACTTAAAATCTACTAACATAGCTATAAATGATACTGGTCTAAGGTTCATTTACTTTATGTGATACTTAAGAGATTCTCATGAAATTTATATCATAGGAATTTTCTAGGATAAATTTCTATAGCCAGTTTTAAGATCCTATTACTAAAACTCTCAGGTGTTTCTATATAGTTAATCTAATTCCACATCAATAAAATCAGAAATGTATTTCTCCAACGCCATCAACAACTCAAGTAAGTTGAGAATAATAAGTATTTGTTCAGGCCTCTGAAATGTACATGTGCTATCCTCTAGCAGTCATATTATACACTGTATACTCTGAGATTAATAAGGCATATCTGGGCTGAATACAACATATCTCTGCATATATCTAGGCCAAACTGTATTCTGCTTTGCCACAGTCCCATTTATATAAGCCTGAGCCTTAAGAGTGCAGATAAAGTACTAGGTGTCTTGTTCAGACATGTCATCTGAAGTTGTATGATTTCCAGTAAGCCTCTTTTTGGTGGTCCTGGTAGCTTAGACCACCACAAGCAACTAAACAAAATAGCTGATATCTCTGCTATGTATCCTAACTGCAATGACTTCCTTCTTTAACCTTTAAAGTAGTAAAACATATTTGATTTCCCATTCTAAGACATTGTCTATGTTCAGCTTTTGTCAGTCTAAAACTCTAACTGGCATATGTTAATATAGTAATTGCACAAAATTATTTTACCAAGAACCTGGTCATCCATGTAATGGCTTTGATTTGCAGGTTTTCACATCATTTATTTATATATGGTACTACCTGCTTTATGTATTTATACAATTTGTGTGGTTTCACTGAACAGTGATTTCCTAAGCTAGATCAAATTAGTAAGTTTATATTACTGGCTGCTTTCAAATACAAATTTAAAATATGTAATGATCCTTTTAACACTATTTCTTTTTAACTTTCATTTATTTAACAAATATTTATTAAGTGTCAACTATCTGCCATATTTTATTAGTCTTTGAAGATACAAAGACGAATAAAACAGAGTTCTGGGAAGCACGGTTGGTTCAACAAATGAAAACCAACCAGGGTTCAACCAATTCTGTGACTATTTATGCTTAAAAACTTGTAAATAAAGTGTACTTTTCATATGTATTACTGATTACCACTTTATAAACACCAAAAAGAACTCACAACTCATATTCTTGTGTATTCTCACTATTCTCTAAAGTAGTAAAACTGCTAATTGTGGGCATAAATTATGATATGTGCTAGGCTCATGAAAATAAAGAGTCAATTTACTTAGTAATAGTCATTTTCTTCATTAAAAACTATTAAGAATTCATATACAAATGCTCTTTTACAAAAACTGGACTATATCCAAAATTATAGCTTTTAATAGCAGCAAAACATTGATCTGAATTAATAAAAGAATGATAATATAAACATTATATAAAACAAGTATACAGTAAGAAATTAGGAATTTGGATAGTAAAATACAAAGACATTAAAATGGGCCATAAATGTTATAAACAGGAAAAGGTACATAAAACAATGAAGCAACTGAAGTATGGTATTATTCTGCTGAGAAATATATTCTAAGACAAACTTTTTTTTTTTTTGTCCTGAAAAGAGAAGTAAAAAAGATTTTTCTTCCTTTTCTCATTGTAAATTCATGAAGTACCAAGATCTGGGTGAAAACGTCATACCTCATATTCATTGTTCAAATTTTTACTGATAAGGGAAATGTAAAACTTTTAAAGGATAATTATAAGTGAACATTTTAAGAGGTGAAAAACAACATAAAAATAGGCAGCAGTCTAGGTAACAGATAATCTGAGAGGAAAAAGCAGTAACTATAGTTATAATAGAAAAACTGGGTGGTATTGGGTTAATAGTAAAGACAAAATGATGCAGAGGATTTATTTATTAAGCTTCCTCTTCTCTGTAAGGGACATAAATTGTCTATCAGATGGAATGTAACAGTCAGTTTTACTCAAATGAAAAAAATTTCAAGATAAGAAACAATTTCAATTCCAAGACAAGAAGACTTGGAAAAGTAAAAGTGCTATAAAAAACAAATGTTAAGAGGCCCTACTACTATAAAGTAGTCTTACATGGTTTGAGGCCTTAACGTTAAAAAGCTAATAAAAAGATCATTAAGGCATGGATAAAAACAGAGCTGCACTAGATAGAGTTACTGATAATAAAGGAAGAAGAAAATAAATAACATAAAAGAAGAAATAAATAAATATGGGGGATCCAAAATTGTGAGGGAAGAAAATTCAAAGAGTCCTAATGACTGTAGATTTGTTTGCCAATTAAGCTTGAATCAAGGAAAAGAACTGACTAGGAATGACAATGTCATAAGTATTACAATAGGAACCAATTATGACAGTGTGGAGAAATGGCCACAAAAAGAATAAGAGATGTTGGATATTGTGTCATGCACCTGTCATCACAGCTATTTGGAAGGCTGAGAAAGGAGGATTGCTTGTACTCAGGAGTTTAAAGCCAGCCGGAGCAACCTCACAAGATTGAAAAAAAAAAAAAGACCAAAGAGTTAACACTCAGAATGGAGAAACCTTAGGTATTTACTAGTTGAACTTTCCATTGAATAAAGTGTTCTCATATTACCATCTAAATGTCCTGTCACTTAAACCTCTGGTTCATATTCCCAGTTCGAAGACATTAAATTCCACACAGGTCCTGAACAGCCTTCATAATGGACTAAAATCTATTTCTCTCCTTGTTTAGTCATAATTATTCTATCTTGCAGAAATATAAAGAAGTCTAATTCCTCTTCTATGTGACCAGCACCCAGTTTTTCCATTTGTGGAACTAAATAGATGACAGTTGTTTATAGTATGAAGGCTGAAACAAGAAGGCTGAGTACATTTTATTAGTTAAACCTTAATTGGGAACATGAGAATTGGGCCACTCAAAGTTCTTGAAGTTCTGCATTGGGCCACAAATGACCATGAAAGTTCTGCAAGCACTGATTTTAGGGTTACAAAGAAATTCTAACAGTAAGCATATTCACAAATATGGAATCCAATGAATCATCAGCATTGACTATATATATAAATTTTTTACTAGAACAGGTCCTGCCATGGGAGCCTGATTAAAAAGCTGCTGCTTTTTACTATTATCATCATTCCCATTATCACTATTCAAATAGGTATACAGTTTGTCATTATCCTACTATGTAACAAGTTCAGATTGCAGAGAAAACTTCATTTTCTGTACTACTTTGCATTTAAATTTGATACTTTCAAAAAACTTCTTTAGTTTCTAAGAAGTTACTGGTACTGGTCAGAGGGCAGCTAAATGGGCACTATCATAAATGATTAGATGGCATATAATAGGCACATATAATAACATTTCTTTCTAGAATCTTCAAGAACATAATTGACCTAATCCTTTAATCCAATGACTATACTTTTAAGATTCTATTACACAGAAGTAATGAAAATTGAAGAATTAAATGTGACAGAAAAATAATTTAAAAAGTGAAATATCTTCAACTTGTTGTACTAGGGAATTTGTTAGAAAATTTACAGTACATTAAGAAATTGAGATTTTACATGACATTAATACTTGAAAACAATTTTTAACAAGAGAAATAAATATGGTAACATGAATGCTAAATTTAAAAAGATATATAACATGTGATTTGACTTCCACTATAGGGGAGAAATATGTAAAAAGAATGCATGTAAACTAGACCCAAGTCCTCCAGTGGTTTTCTCTGTAGAGATCAGGAATGATGCTTCTGCTTGTTTCCTAATATCTTCCCTACACATTCCAGTATTTCTAGAACTATCCTAATCACTTTGGCAAACACATAAACAAGACAAAAAGTCACTTATGTATTTCCTTTGAGTTTTCTTTTTCCTTAGGCAAAGGGAGAGAAAAAAGTACAGGTTGAGTAGTCCT